GACTCACGGCAACCCAACTCCAGGTCGAGCTGTTGTTCAGCATCTTAGCTGTAGAGGGCAGCATCACTGGCCCTCACATGTGGGATCTGAACCGGGGCCCTCTGGCGTCCCAAGCCAGTTCTTAACCAATGCGCCACTCGGCCGGCCCTCTTTTCAGTTTTTGATGTCACAAAATTACATCTTTATACCTGTGTGCCCCCAAACGTAAATAATTCTTTTAAATGCATTAATCTCTTAAATTATGTAGAAAACAAATGTGAAGTTACAAACCACTGTTGCAGCAACATTAGCTGTTATAATTGCCCATATATTTATCTTTACTGAGATCTTTGTTTCTTCTATGGCTTCAGGTGACTGTCTAGTGGCCTTTCATTGTCACCCTGCAGGAACTCCTTGAGCATTTCTTGCAGGGCAGGTCTAGTGGTGACAAACTCTCTCAGCTTTTGTCCATCTGGGAATGTTTTAATTTCTTCTTACTCTTGAAGTACAGTTTGCTGGATATTGGATTCTTAGTTGACAAGTTTTGTTTGTTTTTTATTCTTTTAGCGCTTTGAATATATTGACCCACTGTCCTCTGACCTCCAAAGTGTCTGATAAGAAATCTGCAGAATATCTTACTGAGGAGCCTTTGTATGTGACATGTCACTTTTCTTTTGCTGCTTTCAAAATTATCTCATTGTCTTTTGAAAGTTTGGTTGTAATGTGTCTTGGTGTAGGTCTCTGAGTTCATATACTTGGAGTTTGTTGAGCTTATTGGATGTTTATATTCATACCTTTCATCAAATTTGGAAAGTTTCCAGTCGTTACATCCTCAAATATTCTGCCTCCTCTCTCTCTTCTCCTCTGGGGCTTGCAAGTGAGTACACTGGTCCACTGGGCAGTGTCCCACAGGTCCCTTAGGCTCCATTCACTTTCTCATCTCTTTTCTTTCTTTTCCTCAGACTCCATAACGTCCATTGCTCCGTCTTCAAGTTCACCAACCTTTCTTCTGCCTCCTCAAGTCTACCTTTGAATCCCTCTAATGAATTTTTCTTTCTTTTTAAAAAAATTTCAGTTATTGTACTTTTCAGCTTCAGAATTTTTTTTTGGTTTCTTTTTAGGTTTTCTGACTCCTTATTGATGTTTCTGTTTTGTTCAAACATTAGTGTTTTCTTAACATTCTCTGCATGTTCTTTTAGTTCTTTGAGCACCTTTAAGACAGTTGCTTAGAGTCTTTTGTATAGTAGATCTGCAATCTGGTCTTATTCAGAGACAGTTTCTGTTGATGTATTTTTCTACTCCGAATGGGCCATACTTTACTGTTTTCTTGTATGCTTCATGAGTTTGTTGTTGTTGTTGAACACTGAGCATTTGAATCTAATGTGGTAAATCTGGAAGTCAGAATCTCCCACTTTCTCAGGGTTTGCTGTTTTTTTTGTTAATTGTTTGTGTTTGGTTTTGATTGTTTTAGGCTGTGTCTGTGCTGAGGATCAGCCTGTGGTGTGAGCTCAAGGTCTTTCAGCTCTTTCTCTAGCCTGTGCCTTTCCCTGAACACACACGGTCCACACACTTTCTAAATTCCTCTGTATATGTAGTTGATTTTGAAAGTCCTTGTTTTTAATTTATCCCCAAAATGAAAAAGGAAAAATGCAGGGATAGAAAAAATGGCACCAGCCCTTCAAGCCCCCTGGACATCACTTCATCCAGAGCGGAAGGGGCCACAGCCATGGCCTCCCATCTCTGTGTGCACCAGTCAGAGAACAGTTTCCCATTGCCTGGAGGACAGGGTTCTTTTTGCCCACCTGCCTCCCAAAATCTGTGTACAAGTTGCTCCAGGAACACAAACACAGTTGCCTGCTGTGGGGCTGGGGGCTGGAGGACAGGTAGCTGCTATTCTGCTAAGAGGTAAAGTTGACCCCGATTGACCACAGTTTACCATCCAAGCCTGCGTCAGGAAGTTGCAAGCCTTCAGCAAACGCTGGAGTTCCACAGTAGGTCCGCAGACAAGATTCTGCCAGCGCAGTTGCTGTCTAGGTGGGGACAGAACCCTGGTACTCTCTGCTCCGCTCTCTTCCCAAAATCCTCTTCAGCAGTTGTCTTTTAGGCAGTGAGCTGTAAGCCTTGACTCTGTCTTTCAAGAAATTAAAAAAACTTGAAATCTTAAGCATCTCGCAGCGGCTCTCAACCTTCCTAATGCCGCGACCCCTTAATACAGTTCCTCATGTTGTGGTGATCCCCAACCATAAAATTATTTTCGTTGTTACTCTATAACTGTAATTTTGCTACTGTTATGAATCGTAATGTAAATATCTTTTTGTTTTCCGATGGTCTTAGGCGGCCCCTGTGAAAGGGTCGTTCAGCCCCCAAAGGGGTCGTGACCCACAGGTTGAGAACTGCTATCTAGAGGGACCAAAGGGCTCGTGATGGAGTCTCATCATTAAATACTCGCACAGTCTCTGAAATTGACTGACAAATACCAGACAGACAAATATTACACTGTCTAATTCAATCATTTTACTGTTTGCATGTTCTTTTTTACCTGCAGGATAAGGAGAAACTGCTGGAAGATTGTAAGCTGAGGAAAGTTGACCTCCTAACTCAGGTGAAACAACTTCAAGAAAAACTGAACCGTCTGGTATATTCTATGACCTTCCAGAACATCGAGACAGAGGATTTCAAATCTCAACAGCCACTGGCGTTTTCTGATCTTTTAGAAAACAGTTCGAGTGATAGTTCCAATGACGGTGAAGAACCTGACAAATTGCCTCCTATGGAAGCATTTACTATCAATGAAACCACATGGGATTTAGTTGATGTTATTGGAAATCAGGATTCATGGATAAGAAATGAAAAACCAAATGTCCCCATGGAAGAGAAGGTAGATTTCCAGGATGGGTCACTGGGGAGCCTGCACAGTAGCTGCAGTGACCTAACCCCCAGCGAGGGGGCTGAGCCCTTGAGGAACGCACTCAGCGCCATGGACGTGTCCTGGAGCTCCCCCGAGGTCATCAGGAAGGACTCGACCCTCGAGCCTCTGTCCAGCCTGCCCCTGACGCCCTGCTTGGATGCCTCCTTGAGCGACAAGACGGGCACCTCGCTGCTCCAGGCCGACCAGCCGGGGCTGCTGTGCTCCCTGGCCGGGTCAGCAGCAGCACAGGCCCCTTGCTGGGCCGAGTCCCTGTCCGCTGCGGACAGGACTCCCTCTGCTGACTCCCACGTGCAACGGACAACTGTGGTAGGTGTTGTCCCCTGAGTGCTGCCCTGGTTCAGCGTCTGTAGGGTGCCCAGGTCCCCAGGGTGTTCCCATGGGACTGTGTCAGTGTGCTTCTTGGTGTCACAGCAGCAGCATTGTTGGTTCACCTCCTGGCAGGCCTGTGGGCGGGCGTGGGTGGACGCCTCAGTGTCCCCTGTCAGCTGTGTGAAGGGACGGTCAGCTTTGTCAGCACTAACCCAAAGCCACTGTAACGTGAACGCTTAGAGAGACACCCCCGTGGTTTGTAGAACTATGGGAGGTGCCTCCGTCCTCCTCAGATGTCCACCCAGGACTGATTGTCTTCCCTAATGCTGATGTGGACAGGTCCAGTCATGAATTCGTCCTTGTGGACGGTTTGCATGCAGGGTCTCCGCCTGGAATGTGTGTTTTAGATTTACTTTCAGTTGTATTGCATATGTAAGAGGCTCCACGTAGAATGCTAGTTAGTTTCAAGAGCACTTCCATTTATTTTTTTGAGATAGATTATAGTTTTCCTAACATAGTGTTAATACTTTGTGTATCTTGGGTCCGATAAAATAAAAAGTAAGTTAGGGGATACATGTTACCTGAAGTATCCATAAACTGCCATTTCATGCAGAAGTATTTAATCTGAAATATTAGCTAGTGACTTCGCTGGACTCCTAGAGAACTGTGGGTGATTCGATTGAATTAGCAGAAGCGTGTGGCCTCCGTGTGTCTATAAGCTTTGAACACTTTTATTTGGGTTTTGTGTGGGAAGGTGATAAATTCAGGCCTTAGAAAGTGTCCACGTGGCAAGTTCAAGACCATGATGTAATAAGTTATTTTGTGACCATTTACAATTCTACCTGTTTGAACAGGAGAAAGATGTTGAGGATTTTATCACAACGTCTCTTGATTCTCAAGAAAAGTCAAGATCACCTCCTCTTGGGTTAGAAGGAAAAAGTGATGGAAGTGAAAAAAGTGAGTCCGTCACCTTTTTTAAACCTTTCGTTGTTGCAATTTCAGACTTGAGGGCTCCCAGCGCCCGCGTGCCCTTCACAGGCTCCCAGTGCTGGCGCTGGCTCGTCCGCTGCGCGGGCGCCCTGCTTGCTCTTCTCTCTCTCACGTTTGAAGCTTCCTCCNTGAAGCTTTTGCAGTATGTTTTCTCAGTTTTATAATTTTAGGTCTTACTTTAAGTCTTTGATCCATTTTGAGTTAATTTTTGTATATGGTGTTCAGTAAGGGTCCAACTTCATTCTTTTGCATGTGGGTGTCCAGTTTTCCCAGCACCATTGTTGGAAAGACTGTCCTTTCCCGACTGAATGGTTCTGGCAACCTTGTTAAAAATGATTTCACTATGTGAGGATTTATTTCTGGGCTCTCTATTCTTCTGGTCTATATATCTGTTTATATGTCAGTACCACACTATTTTAATTCCTGTAGCTTTGTAGAAAGTTTTGAAACCAGGAAGTGTGAGCCCTCCAGCTTTGTTCTTTTGCATGATTGTGTTAGTTATTCTTGGGTCCTTTAAGATCCCATTTGAATTTCTGGATGGGTTTTTCTCTTTCTCCAAAAAAAAGGTCATTGGAATTTTGATAAAGATCGCATTGAATTTGTAATGCACTTTTGACATCTTGACATTAAGGAAGTCTTTCAGTTTATAAACATGAGATGTACTTTCATTTATTTATGTCTGCCTTAATTTCAGCAGTGTTTTGCAGTTTTCATTATACAACTCTTTTACCTTCTTGGTTAAGTTAATGCTTGTTTCTTTTTTGGTTTGTGATGCTATTATAAATGAAATTGTTTTCTTAATTTCCTTTTCAGATTGTTCATTGTTTGTATATACAAATGTAGCTGAGTTTTGTATGTTGACTTTGTATCCTCTGCTGAATTTTTAAATTAATTGTAACAGTTTTTTTGTGGACTCTTTAGGGTTTTCTACCTGTGAATATAGATAGTTTTACTTCTTCCTTTCCAATTTGGATGCTTTTTAAATTTTATTTTATTTTATTTATTAATTGCTCTCGTGAGGACTTCCAATACTATGTTGGAGAGAAGTGGTGAAAGTGGGTGTCCTTGCCTTGCTCTCAGAGGAGAAGCTTTCAGTCTGTCACCATTGACTGATTTCCACTGTGTTTCTCATGTATGGCTTTTATTATGTTAAGGTCATTTATTTCTAATTATAGTTATGATGAATGTTTTTATCATAAAAGGGTGTTGAATTTTGTCAAGTGCTTTTCTGCATCGATTGAGAAGACGTGATTTTTTTTCTTTCATTTTGTTAATGTGTATGTTACACTGATATTCCTGTGTTGAACTATTCTTGCATTCCAGGAGGAAACACCACTTGATCATGCTATATAATCCTTTTAATCTGCTGTTGAATTTGATTTTTTGGTATTTTGTTGAGGATTTTTGCATAAATATTCATAAGGAATATTGGTTTGCAGTTTTCATTTCTTGTAGTGTGTTTGGCTTCAGTATCAAGGTAATGCTGCCTCATAGGCATTCCCTCTTCTTCTGCCCGTGAAAGAGCGGTCTTCCTTAGAGAGTTCTGATATAATTTTTTCCTTAAATGTTTGCTAGAATTCACCAGTGAGCCCTCTGAACCAGTGAGCTCCCTCCTAGTCAGTGTTTTGGAAAAGTTTGAGAAGGATTGGGATTAGTTCTGTAAATGTTTGCTAGAATTCACCAGTGAAACCATCAAGTCCAGAGCTTTGTTTTGTTTTGAGATTACGGAGTACTGATTCTGTCTCCTTTTTTGTCTCTTGTAACCTTTCTTGCTTTAAATTTATTTTGTCTCACATTAGTATGGCCATCCCTGCTCTCTTTTTGTTAGTATTTGCATGGACTGTTTTTTCCATTATTTCACTTTCAACCTATTCATCATGTCTTTGGGTCTAAAGTGTGTCTCTTGTAGACAGCATATAGTTAGAGCGTGTGTGTTTTATCCATGCCCCCAGCCTATGTCTTTGATTGGAGAGCTTTAATTCATTTAAAGTAATTACTGGTAAGGAGGATGTATTCTTGTCATTTAGCCATTTGTTTTCTGTATACCTTGTAAGGTTTTTGTTTGTTTTTGGTCTCTCAGTTCCTGCATTACTGTCCTCACTTGTGTTTAGTTGATTTTTAGAGTGAAAGATTTAAATTCCTTTCTCATTCCTTTTTGTGTGTATTCT